GGGGCACGTGTGGGGTGTGTCAGGTGCGCCCGCGCACGTGACAGCACACATCGGGAAACGTGTCGCCCCCACCATCCTTGTCGAAAATCAATGCCCAACATTGTGTCTGGTGGGCTTGCGCACAGCGCACCCCCGCCGTCCAAAAGCTACTTGACAGTGATCGCGGGGTGGCCGCGCACGATCCAGATTTAGCCGCGAGGTGCATGTTGTATAGTTTTTCCCGAACAGTGTTTGCAGCACTAGGGGTTCTTACTTCGATTAACCATCTCGGGACCTTGCCGCAAAATCGCCGCCGTACCGCCGGTCGCAGCCCGTCGCCGTCGCCGCCATCCCCGCCCGTCGCCGCCCGTCGCCGTCGCCGCCCGTCGCCGCCATCCCCGCCCGTCGCCGCCCGTGCGGCCTGTCGCCGTCGCCGCATCGCATACGTTGCACCGCATATATTGCATTACATAAGTTGCATCGCGTACATTGCACCAAATAGATTGCAACGCACAGACGGCATTACATAGGTTGCATCGCAGATTTTGCACCATGTAGATTGCACCGCATCGATTGCATCACATAGGTTGCATCGCATACATTGCACCACACATATATTGCATTCCATCGGTTGCATCGCATACATCACACCACACACACACACATTACACCGCCTAGACTGCATTACATAGGCTGCATCGCATATTTGCATCACGTAGATTGCGCCGCATATATTGCATTACCTATATTACATCGCATACGTTACACCGCATAGATTGCGGCACATTGATTGCAATGACTTATCGTTTGGGGTCCACACTGGCTAACATATGCTAGGGATGGTAGTCCTGCGCACAGCAGGCAATATGCTGACACCCCTGCCGTCCCTCTCAAAAACAATGCAAGGTGATCGCGGGCTTCACGAACATGACGCAAGACTTTGCCCCAAAGTGTATGTTGAACTGTTTTTTGACAGGGATGATGGGGGGGGGCGCATCGGTTGGCCGCGCATGCTCCAAATGTGGAGGCAGACTGCGTGTTGCATTGTTTTTGTGACAGGGATGGTGGGGTGTGTGGCCCTCATGGGGTTAACATTGTTCCGGGTTGGCCGCCGGCCGGGTGGGGGAGGTGGTGTATATGAATAGGGAAAAGTGATCAAGACACCCTCCCCGCCAGCAAGCCGTCTCGTCATTCCCACCCGCCCTCCCAACACATAATTGGCACCTGAGCATGTTCAGCGGTCTTCTTTGGATGGACAGCTACTGGGAAGCAAAACAGCCCCCATGTGCGCGACGCTTGGGCGAGGTGCGCCACGAGTGCCTGGCGCGCCAGGTGCGCCAGGCACTCCTGGGGCCCAAGCGTGCCAGGTACGCCTGGTGCGCCATATTCGCCACGTGCGCCATGTTTGTCGCATGCTCTAGCCGCCCCAGGTGCGCCACAGCCTGTGCACGCGCAGAGTGTGCTAGGCGTGCCCGCGCACGTGACAGTATACATCGGGAAACATGTCGGCACACACCGTCCCTATCGAAAACCAATGCGCAATTGCGGCGGGGCAGGCACTATGCCAGCACCCCCGCCGTCCTTGACAAGAACCAGTGCAAAGTGATCGCGGGGTGCCTGCGCATGCTCCAGTTCTTGCCACGAAGTGTATTTTGTGTTGTTGCTTGACAGGGGTGGTGGCCCTGCGCATAGCAGGCAATTTGCGCCCCCCCCCGCCCCGCCGCCCCAGTCAAATAACACTACCAATTGCTCGCGGGCCTCCCGAGCATTATATCCAAGAGTTTGCCCCAAAGTGCCCTTGACATTGCTTTTTGACAGGAGAGGTTGGGGAGTGGCATTGTCTGAATGTGAGTGAGTCTGAGTGTGAGCAAGTCTGGGTCTGGGTGAGTTTGAGCGTGGGCGAGGAGGAAGGAAGTGGGAAGGAGGAAGGAGTAAGGGGGAAGGTGGAGGCATCACACTAATCACAAGAACCCCATGCTCACGACATGGGGCAGAACAGCAATGGCACGATCAATTAACAGTCATAATACGCATGTGACCCGTCTGCCGATGGCAAAAAGTGAGGCTATAGGCGATACGCCCGACCAATACATAGCACCCCGCAATTGCGGATAAGAGTGAGGGGGCGGGCGCGGGCGACGCGGACGTCGTCGAGCCGGCGGACCTCATGGCCCCCACCTTCCCTGTCGATGGCGCTCTCCTCCTCCTCCTCCTCGTCCTCCTCCTCCTCCTCCTCTTCCTCGTCCTCGTCCTCGTCCTCGTCGTCATCGTCATCCTCCTTCTCCACCTCGTCCTCCTCTTCGTCCTCGTCCTCCCTCTCCCCCCCTCGTCCTTCCATCATCGTCCTCCCATTGTCGTCCACCCCCTCATCGGCCTCCATCATCGTCCTCCCATTGTCGTCCATGATCATCATCCTCCCCCTCCTCACCTTCCTCCCCCTCCTCGTCCTCCTCCTCCCCCTCCTCCCCCTCCTCGTCCTCCTGCTGCTCCTCCTCCTCTTTCTCCACATTCTCCTTACATCCTCCCTCCTTTCGCGTCCTCCTCGTCCCCTGTTTACTCCTCCTGCCTCCCCCTCCTTTCCCAAGATAGCGGCAACGCAATCTTTTTTTCCACATTATGCTCCCCGACTTCTCTGATCAAGGCAACTCGCCAGGGCAAAGTTGCTGGACGGGCTGGTGTGGATGCGCGGGGTTTGAAGAGGTCGTTGCGGGCGCAGACGGCATGCAAAAATCCGCAGCCGCGCTTGTGCGGCATTGGTTTGTTCAGTGAACGTGGTTTGGGTCGCGGGTGGGTCGCGGGCTCTCCACCTCCACCTGTAATGAATGCAAGAGCAGCCCGCCGCTGGCGCCGAAAAATTTGTTTGTACACTGAACGTGGAATGGGCCGCGGGTGGGCCGCGGGTTCTCCACCGGGGACGAATGCAAAAGATGCCCGCCGCAGGCGCCGAAAAGATTGGTATGTACCCTGATCGTGGTCGCGGGTTGGCCGCGGGCTCTCCACCTGAAACGAATGCAAAAGATGCCCGCCGCAGGCGCCGAAAAATGTGGTTTGTACCCTGAACGTGGTTTGGGTCGCGGGCTCTCCACCTGGAAGGAATGCAAAAAAAAAACCCGCCGCAGGCGCCGAAAATGGTGGTTTGTACCTTGAACGTGGTTTGGGTCGAAGGTGGGTCGCGGGTGGGTCGCGGGGTGGGTCGCGGGTGGGTCGCGGGCGGGTGGGTCGCGCGGTGGGTCGCGGGTCGGGTCGCGGGGTCGCGGGTGGGTCGCGGGTGGGTCGCGGGGTGGGTCGTGGGGTGGGTCGCGGGGTGGGTCGCGGGTGGGTCGCGGGTGGGTCGCGGGTGGGTCGCGGGGTGGGTCGCGGGTGGGTCGCGGGGTGGATCGCGGGGGGGATCGCGGGTGGGTCGCGGGTGGGTCGCGGGGTGGGTCGCGGGGTGGGTCGCGGGTGGGTCGCGGGGCGGGTTGCGGGTGGGACGACGACAACAAACAACAACAAACAACAACAAACAACAACAAACAACAAACAACAACAACCAACAACAACGATAATCCGCACCGCGAAATCCCACTTCAGCCACGCACCCAGGGACAGTGAATGACCGTTCGGCCCCCTCACTCTGATTAGTAGAAAGTGGAAAGTGTTGACGCATCGCGTATCCCAGCCAGCCCATCCAGAAACGATGCCCAGGAGAGCTGACGGCAGAAGGGAAAAAGAAACGCACATAGTGAAACAACGTGGGCAACAACGGTGACTTGGGATATCTCTGATAGCGAATGGTACGGGTGCTGCTGTTGGTGTTGTTGTTGCTGTTGGTGCTGCCGGATGGTGGTGGTGTTGCTGCTGCTGGTGCTGCTGGTGGCACTGGTGGTGTTGTTGGTTCTCGCGCTGTTGGTGCTGCTGCCGGTGCTGCTGCTGGTGCCGTTGTTTCTGTTGGTGGTGGTGGTGCTTTTGCTGCTGGTGTTTGTTTTGGAGGCCTCTTGGAGCGTCTGGGGGGCTTCTTGGGTGCTTCGGGGATCTTCTTGAGGCCTCTGGGAGGTCTCTTGGAGGCTTCTTGGAAGCGTTTTGGGCGCCTCTTGGGGCCGTCTGAGTGCCTCTTGGGGCCCTCTTGGAGCGCTCTTGGGAGGCTTTGAGGGGCGCTCTTGGGGCCATCTTGGGGCCTCTTTTGGCCTCCTGGGCGCCTCTTGGGGCCATCTTGGAGGAGATCGATCAAACAAGAGGGGAGCTTCAATTACGCTCCCCTCGGTAGCCCCAAAAGTAGCCTCCTTGACCCCTCTTGAGGCGCTCTTGGAGCGCTCTTGGGCGCTCTTGGGGCCGTCTTGGGGCTCTCTTGGGAGCCTCTTGGGGCTGTCTTGGGCCATCTTGGAACCATCTTGAGGCCTCGAATGGCCATCGGAAGCGAAAAAGCGAGAAGGCACAAATCATTGGTTTTCCTTAGGTTGTTGAAGGATTTTGGCCTCTTGGAGGCCTCCTTGGGGAGCTCTTTGGCCTCTTGGGGCCGTCTTGGGGCGGTCTTGAGGCCTCTTGGAGCATCTTCAGAGCCATCTTGAGGCATCTCAGGCTATCTTGAGCCATCTTGTAGCTCATCTTGGGCTCTCCGAGGCGCTCTTGGAGCCATCTTGGACGCTCCGACCGCTCGCGAAACTCTCCGTCCGGTCCAGGGAAGGGGGTAGGGGGAGGGGTAAACCCCTCCCCGAAGGGGGAGAAGGGGGTGGATGAGGAAACACCCTAAACCACCTACCCCCAGAGGGCTGGTGGGACTACGAGGTTATGTTGGAAAGTGTGGTATTGAGACGCACCCCATCCCCCAACCCAGGACTTTCCTCCCCCAAATCCCGACTTCCCAATGTCAGCCAATGTGGTGTCTTTGTTGCGTGCGCTTTCTAGCTGCCTGCGACTGCACACTCTCAAGGATCGACTCCTCGTTCTTCCCATGTTGCTTAGCCTTCTCCTTCAGCCTCCTGTCCACCCCTCCTCCCGCATCATGTCTTTTCCTCCTGCTCCTCCACCCTTCGGTGCGATTCGAGCCCTCTGTGGACTCCAGAGCTGCGGAGCAAGGCTGCCGGGATGGGGCCGCACATGGCCTCGACCGCGGCCTTCGCCATTGGAGAGCGGTGACGATGCAGACACCATTTGAGCTCGGATGTAAGATTCGGGTGTCCGCATGGGCCAGAGGCGTTCCCACACCAGACATACTGCGTGCCGTCTCGGGGTTTGGCATTGGTGTGGGCGTTTCCTGTTGAGGCTGTGTTGAACACCAAGGCCCCGGGGACAACGGAAGGGGCTCATAGGTTATGCATTGGTGGGCCATTGTTGACTTCCTGCCCGGTGGATCGGAAAAAGCGTTACAGCAGTTTCAAAAGATGCGGCAGCGTTGCGTTCCCTTCGTGTCCCCTGTACGCCTCCCCTCATCCATCCCAGCGCGCACCATGCTGCTAACCAGGCCGTCACAGGGGCAACTGCCATTGCGTTCCCGTGCCCAGCGTCTTCTTAGCATTGCTTTCTTTAATGGCATCTGGCGCCCAAGTTGGCCGTCGCTGCTGCTGCTGCGTGACGCCGGCTGGTCGCCGCCCTGCGCGCAGGCAATGAGCGTGCCGTCCCACCGCGGCCTCGGCTGCCACTCAAGACGTTAAGCAGAAGTGCTTCGCGGTAAGTCGGGCCTGTCCTTCTACAGGACGAAGATTCAAAAATAGTAGAAAAATAGTATGGGGCGATGTTTAAAACTATTTTTGATAAGTTTGAGAGATGTGTTTAGTTTCTGGCTAAAAAATGCACAGAATCCTCTTGTTGGAGGACAGGCCCGACCTAAGCTTTGCCTCAAGCGACCTGGAGGCATTGCAAAACGCCAGAGGCCCACCTGCGCCAGTCCTGGCCAGGTTCAGCCGCGTGCGGGGGGGGTAGGGCCTAGGGGGGGAGGCTTCTCAGAAGCACCCGGCTTCTCACAAGGCACGGGCCCCATCCAGGGCCGGCGCCTTCTGAGGAGCAGGCTTCTTCTGAGAAGCCGTTCCCCCTCCCTCCCCCCTTTGTGCGCGCCGCCAACAAATCGGCTACACGTAAGAGAGAGGCAAGTGCGGAGCCACCTGGCTCTGCGCGACTTTGACTAATAGCTTGTGTGCGAGTCTCTCTCCCCCCTAGAAAATCCAGCCCCCTCATATGCCTGCTGCCATAGGGCAGGGTCATGCGCGGTATAGCAACACGACATGGCGCATGGACGCCTGGAGAGGCGGCGCGACCGTGCAGAGGTCATGCCTAGGGTCTCCCAGAAACCTCCATAGGGAAGGTGTGAGATTGTCGAGGCCATGAAAACCGAAGGGAAGCTGGGAGTAAACCAGGCGAGGGCCATCCTGCCGAGTAAAGAGTGCATGATCCGCCGCAGTAAGATAAGACAGACGCACGCTTCGAAGTTCAGGGGGAGGAGGCCTGAGGGAGGAACGACGTACGGGCGAGGATGGAGGTCTCCAGTTACAGAGCGACTGGGCATACGCCTCGGGAGTGAGAGGCGAATGCGGAGCCACCGGGCTCTATGCTTCTTTAAAAGAAGCCTGTGTACGAGACTCTCCCCCCTTGCCCCCAGATACCGAATGCCAAGAGGCAAAAAACGCACTTGCGAGCCGCAGCGCCAATATATCAGAGTGTCACGCGCTAGCCCGCCATTATCTTTGTTAGGCCTCGCGATCCGCCGATGCATACTTGAATTCCGAGCTTCATTCCAGAGAAAGAGGCAGGCAAGAAGAGAGCCGAACATAAGAAGGAGAAGGTCTCAGGTATGCCGTGCAAGTTGGCGCACGCGTTTGAACAAAGGCACGCAGAGCCTCCCAGCCTGCGGACTGAAATCCTACACCCCCAGGAGGGAAGGAGGGATAAATGAGGGAGGGAGGAGGAGCAGGGAGGAGGGAAAAGGGAAGAGGGAGGCGGAGGAGGAGGAGGAGGGAGGGAGGAGGGAGGGGGGAGCGAGGAGGGAGGAGGAATGGTGGAGGAAGAAGGAGGCGGGAGAGGAGGAGGAGGAGGAGGAGGAGGAGGAGGAGGAGGAGGAGACGGTGGCCGGTTGGCAGGTTGGGTGCCCGGAGGGCGGCACGCCGGGCGTCTTCTTCATGGCGTTCGGCGATTTCATCCGGCAGTTCGCGCACTGCACCAGCCGGGGGGGGGGGCCCGACAGGGGCGGAGCAGGCGGACTGCACCAATGAGGAGAGGGAGAGGGGCTCGGCGGCTGGGGGAGGAGGAGGAGGGAGGCTTTGCACCTAGAACTTGCCCAATCCAAAAAGGAGGAGGAGGACTATAACGCAATATCCAAGATGCTTATATTTGGCCAACGTCACAATGATGAGGAGGATGAGGAGGAGAAGTCGATCTCGAGAGGTCCCTGGAGATCGCTGGAGGCCCCCGCGAGCCGGTGATAACTGGGGGGCGGGGCATCATGGCGGGAGCCGTAATATCTCCCCTGATTTCACGGCGCATCTTCTCATGCCAACACGTCCTCGGCACCCCTTGACCCGCGAACGTGCCGCCAGCCATGATTTGCGCCACCCCCTCTTGAACGCCCCCATCTTGGGCGCCTCCGATTGCAGTTTTTGGGGAGAGTGGGGGGCTTCTCGGCCACGCGAAGAGGGGGGTAGGGGAAGGGGAAAGGTATCTTAGAAAGAGGCTGCTTCTTAAAAGGCGCGGGTCTTCTCTATATTAATGGAACGCCGGTGCCTTTTTGAGAAGCGGCCACATAAGAAGCTTTCCCCCTTCCCCCATACCCCCCTCTGCGCGCCGCCAAGCTTCGGAAGAGGAAAAGGTACCCATACAGCTACCCTTACTTCGTTTTCGCATCGTTGGGCCTCCTGGGAGGCCCTCGTCGCCACGAGCGACTGGATGCGCTTCGAAATTGTGGTCAGAGCGCACCCCGGGAGAGGTTTGGGGAGTAGCGGTATTAGTATATCTGGGTTCCCCAAGGGTGAGGGAGTTGAGCGATTAGGAATGAACCTTTTGAAATTGTTTGGCCACTGCCGAGGCCGCAAGCATACCTTTTTTCAGGCGAAGCACCGCCACCTGGTTTGGGAGCTGACGGCCCCAAACCACATGGCCATGCAACGCCCAAGTGGAAGGAGGAGGAGGAGGAATAGGGGGAGGAGGAGGACTATCAAGCTTCAGCCTCCTCACCAAAGTCCGACCAACGTAAAAAAAGAAGACGACTACATGTATGGGTGGCTCTGGTCAAGGGCAGCACGACGGCTTTCACCCTTTTCAAAAGTGATGCCATTCCTCCTCGTCCTCTTTCCGCCCCCCCTCCTCCTCCTACTCCTCCATTCCCTTTTCTTTCTCCTCCTCCTCCTCCTCCTCCTCCACCTCCTCGTTCCGTAGCCATTTTGGCTCAAGATTGCACGTCATCGCGAGCGCAGCGTGGATACCGCTAGTCCGCGGCCAGACCCAACTGTCTCGCAACTACACCCAGGGACGAGCTGCCGTCCACTCCTGCGTTCCACCTCGGCGTTGCAGGCCGCCTTTCATATTGCTGTGTGTCTCGTGCCGAGAATCCAGTCCGTTTCGAGCCCACTGCCAAGCTTCCATATTCCCGCATTGTGCGCAGCGCCGTGCTCCCATATCGAGCCATCGTGTGCTGCTCCGTGCCAGCCAACGAGAGTCAGTCAAGTACGCGGTGGTCCTGCAGTGCACCTGGCCAGCGACGAATCGTTGAACAGACCCCGGATATCCGTTGTCAGTACTCCAGCATCATGTCCGCCGCTTCTTCGGACAGGGACGACCAATCCAATGGCTCCACGCCCCGCAGTTGCCGAGAGGTCCGTCACCAACGCCACGAATGTTCTCGCCGCGACGATCGACGTCACGACGACCGCCAGCATCGACGCGAATAGCCCCGTAGAGATGGTCGACGCGCTGCTTGCGAACGCCTGGAACACCGTGGCAACACAGGATCCAGCTGCCAAGGCCCTGCATGTGCTCCACAGCAGCGACCCCGTGCAGCAGGACGGGGCACTGTTCGCCATCCACCGGCACCGACACGCAGATCAGCCAGATCAGGAGGAAACGCTGCGCCCGAAGCCCCCGCCGTGGCCATGGAAGAGATTGAGAAGCCACCACATGGTCCTGCTATTCATGATCCCCTTCAGGGCGACGCTGACCCAACGCCAAGTACATCGAGCAGCAGCTGGGGCCCGCAGCCGCCGAACAACTCGTCCGCGATTTCGAAATTGCTCCTACCTTCGCTTCCCAACCTGCTGCTGCGCCAGCCACCCCAATCACTGGACGCGCTACTCATGTGGGGGTCCAAAGAATATGCACCACCACCACGTCGATTCCTCCTCTCGCCTCTTTCCAGCGAGAGGGAGGGGGGGAGGTAGGTGGTGGTGGTGTATATTTTGATGCCTCCTATCATGGATCACAGCACGAACCACATCCTGCACATCAAGAACGACATGGACCTCCTACCTGGGATGCCCGAAGACCTCGATGTCGTTCTTCGGGAACTCATGCTTCGGTAAGTCGCCACTGCCGCCCCCCGGTTTCAAGAACAAGCTGACCAGCTCCTCGCTGAGCCTCGCGAAAGTTCCCGCCTTCTCGTTCAACGGCAAGTCGCCGCTGCAGAACGCCGAGTGGATGCACCCCGCGACGAAGTCGCTCGCATTCGCAGAGAACAAGACCGCCAAGCGTCAGAGCAGCAGCGAATGTGGCAACACATCGACCAGATGCGCGACGCTCTTGCCCCCGCCGAAGCACAGACTCCGATCGCAGACCCCAGTCGTTTTGCCGAACGGGGCCGCCAGCCCGACCCGGCGCTCGTCGTCGTGGGCTGCCAGCGCCCTCTGGCCCCGAATGCGGTGCTCAACGACTTCCAGGAATGGATTGCAGAAGCCAACCCCCGGTCTAATCGCGCGGAACGACTCGGAGGCGGCGAACCTGCCCGCCGCTTCGTCCTACAAGTCAAAGGAGACAGCGTTGTCGCAGCACCCCGTGCGCTGGCTCTCTCGCGCACAGTGCGCGACGCAGCTGGCCAGTGAAAGCGGTTTGCCTCAACTGACACAACAGGCCAGCCAGTTGACATCTACATCGGCCCCGACAAGCCCCCCTTAGCAGATCAGAACAGAAGTCAAGACCAAGAAGCCCCTTTCAGCTATTGCAGCAGCGCTACCCTCGTCAGCGGTGGAGAGCTTGTCGCACCAAGGGAGAGACCCACTGCAGCCCCATGCCCATCGCCAAACTTATTACCCGTGGCCAGGCAAGGGAGAAACCCCCTCCACCCCCCAGTGGAACGAGAGAGCCTTCGACAATCCGCAGTGTCAGTCCACCGACCGAGGCGACATCACCACTTCCTTCCAGGCGCTCCTTGCTGACGCGGAGTCAGCCACCTGGCGCGCACGACCCTCGCCGCGCCCCCCAGCAGCTCGACGCCTCTGCGGCGCCGACCGCCATCGCCTCAGAGAACGCGCGTGGCAATCTGCCCTACAATGGCAGACGCTACATCCACGATCTAGCCACCGCGAAGCCCATGAAACGCGAGCGCCAGATCTCAGCCACCGCCCCTGGAAGTCTACAGCCTCGCTCACTTCGAGCTCGACCCTGAGTGCATCGAGCTGCCCGCGTTCCTGCGCGCTGTCGCGCGCACGCCCATGGCCACCATGAATGTCAACCGCGCCGATTACATCGCCGATGCCATCCCCAACGTCGAGCTGCCGTCAATTCCTGCTGATTTTTCTTGCGTTGCCAGCCGCCATGCATATCAGTTTGCGCGTTGCCCCGAGCATCCAGATCGTCTTGCGCCCCCGCCGGGCACCCATGCCATTGCGTCGAGCCTCGTGCCGCGCATCAATATCGCTTCATCGCGTTCGGCCCCGCGCCAACTAACAATTGCCACTCAAGCGCGCAGTGGTTTCGAGGTGGTCCTGGCCAGTGGTGCAGCTCCGAACAGCACCCTCTTCCCATGCTCGCCTCAGCCGAGATCACCGCCAACGCTGAGGGCACATGAGACGATGCGCTCCTCTCGGGCGACCGCGCCAGCATCCACGCGCTCACGCCCTTCATCTTCGGAATCAAGACGCACCAGCCGCTTTTTTCGAACAGCTGGCCCTCCCGCCGATCTCCGACGCTCCGTTCTTCATCACTAAGGTTGGGCCGCATCTGTCGCTGATCGAGCAGGTCATCCACCCGTCAAACGCCCGCGACCCGAACTACACCGTCTACATCCTGCAGCTACTAGGTGCCACGCAGGCCAACTACGTCTGCATGGATATCCGCTGGCACTCGCACATGAAGCTCATTTCTGAGGCTGCCCTGCTGGTTCGTTACGATTGGGTCCGCAAGTCCATCGGCGACGTCAATAAGTTGGGCTTCTGGGCTGGAAGCGCCCCCATCACGCGCTTTATCTCCAGGGCCGTCTGGAGGCGGTCTTCAACTCGCGCTCCGCGTCCCCGCGACCGCCGCCCCGCGCGCAAAGTCCCTCTCGATCGCCAACGGCACTTCCCGTTTCTGCGCCTGCATTGCCCTCGCCAGCCAGACCATCCAGATGCACCCTGACTTCGAGACCATCGCTGCCGTGCTAGGCGCTTGCTGGCATCCCGTCTTCGACGCGAAGCACCCCAACATTGCCAACATCACCGACTATATCCTCGCGCATATGTCGAGGGTGTCCCCATCGACACCGGGGCGCCCACCAGACCGCAGCTCCAGGCCCTGCTGGGCAGCGCACCCCCTTCTGCATCTGGCCCAGTCTTTCTGCCGCGCAACGTCTGGCACGCGCGCGAAACCTCGCTTCGTACGCATGAAGTTATCCTCCTTCTTCTGCTTGGGCCAGCACTGCATCCGCGACCTGAACGACCCCGTCTCTGCCACTTGGCTGAAGGGCGATAACACGGAGGGCGAGCTCACAACTGACCGCGCGCCCGTGGACGCCCACCCGCCCTCGCCGAAAAAAGACACGGGCATCAGAGCCATCGCAGGCGCCGCTCGTCTCCTGGCCAGGAGCGCTGTGACAAAGCGCGCTCACATCGCCCAGCAGGGCTTCTCCCAGGGACGCAACATCCCCAAGCCCACCGACCGTTGCAACGTCGTGAAGTGCCGTGCTGGATGGCTGCCAGTCGCCACCGACTCCAAGCTTGTCGTCACCGGCCTCGTCTTCTCGGGCAACGTGAACTTTGTCC